TGATTTGTAGGCCTACTCCTCGTTTAGGGGGGTACAGGATGCATAGGCGATTTGTACCCCTTAGGTATAGAGGGGGGGGTTACCAGAGGCGATTTTTACCCCTGGTAGTTTTCACATCTTTAAAATACGGAAAGCACTGGTCCGCTAACAAACCAAACAAAATATATAGGACACCTCACTCCAAACTCTGTTTCTAAAAGAAGAGCTGGGCCGAAAAAGCTGTGGGGAGCATAGTGTATGCCGAGTGTATGCTCCCCGACTAGACGAAGGAGTGCTATTTGCCGAGGCATTTGTGCTCCCCTCCCCCTAGTACTGGGTGAACAAATCGCCTAACAGTAAGTGTCCTGTACCACCCCCTCTCAGTAGCTAGGGGTTACGTATCGCCCAGGCGTCCTGTATCACCCATGTACCTCGGAGTACAAACCCTGCCTTGGCGGGTTTTGCTGTTTAAACTGTCATATTGTTATACAGTAAGATTTGCACAGTACCCACCTACCGAGGGACACAAATCTCCCAGGAAATTTGTACCTGGGGGTACAGGCTGGGCGATTTGTACTTGGGTGTCGACAGGGGGGTACAAATGCCTCAGGTAATTTGTACCCCCCGTTGGCAAGCGGGGGATTAGTGCCTGCCCAATGTAAAATGTTAGCGATATCGTTTCGACATCGGTTTTCAAGTCGTTACCGATACCAAAATGGACCTGAAATCGACGGTTTTGGACGGTCGGCATCGAAACGACATCGTCTTGTCGAAAAGCTGTGGATTTCTGACCCACTTTTGTGGCGCTAACAATGTGAATACGGCGAAATTCACCGTAAGTTACAGTGACCCCGCAGCACAGTAGCTTACGGTGAGTTTTCATCGTAAGCTACGGTCCCGGCTGCAGGGTCACTGTAACTTACGGTCAAATTCACCGCAAGCGTTTAACAGTGTACCGATGTCAAAACGATAGCGTCGCAAACATTTCTCAATGGGTTGGGTACAAATCCACAGGAGTATACAAACACTTTACATGCACGTGCACACTGCCGTTCGTGGTGTACTGCTCGCGCGGTAGTCGGTGCGAGGGAGAGACTCTCCTCCACGGTGGTGTACTCGCTATGAACAGACAACCTCCTCATTGTTGTGATAGCTGCACGTTTACCCTCCAACGTGGGTAACGCGGGTACTCGCAGGTCAAGCCTAGGGAAGGAAGTTTTCGAATACCGTACTCCACGCGGAAGTGGTGAAACGAATAAAAGGGGAGATGGTCACGCCGTTTCACATTTGTCAGGCACATGTGTGACCGGCCGGTCACATGTGGCACATGTTCGGACACGCCTGACAGAGAAGCACAACGTGGCGTTGACGGATTTTTGACATAATTCCTCCTTTGCGAGCACTCGCGTGGCGGCGTTCGGGGTAAAAGAGGGGCACACACCCACCACCGCGGGTGTTTGCGATGCGGCCACGGGAGGTGGAATAAAATGCGGAAAATAAAAAAAAAAAATGTGGAAAAAAATGCGCGCGGAAAGCCGAGGGAAGAAAGAGACATTTCCCTCCGCAACGAAACGACATTTGTCGGCTAGGCCTCGGACAACTTCTTGTCCTCATGCCAAAGCGTTGCACGAAGCGATAGCGGAGTGCAACGCTTCACTGATAAGTATAGTGCTTATTCCCTGTATTGACTTAGGTTTGTTAGCAAAGGTTTGCTTCGTTTTATTTTTTTAAACCGCAGTGGTAATATATTACACTTTTCTTTATAAAACATCTATAGGACACCAGTCTTACTCAGAAAAACAAGGACCCATGCCAAATCTTTGCGCGGAGCGATAGCGGAGTGCAACGCTGCATTGACAGTACCATTACTGATTTTCTGTACTAAATTAGGTTTGTTAGTTTGAGTTTGCTTCCTCCTATTTAAAAGCAATGCGGAGTACAGCAGCTCTGTATTGCCTGTATCGTTACTGAGCGGAACCCGCACCACAAGTCACCCGGCTCGCTGCGGCCTCAACACTGTGGAGGTAGGCAACCCGTCACGCTGCCCGCTAGCGAAAATTTCCCTTTTCTCCCGCACAATCCCCTCTTTTCCCTCCGATGCCCGCTAGCGACAATCCTGACCCTTCTACCTGGGGCCCTTGCCCGCTAGCGACATACGCCCGCGGCCACGCCGGAGGAAGGAGTGGACACCCTCGGGAGTTCCCCGATGGCGTTCTCACTCTGCAAATCTAAGTGTTGAACAAGTCGACGGTTTTAACTGCAAAACTAAAGAGTTCTACACTTCCAACTGCAATTTTCTAACCGTTAACGAAAATTTTATTTCCGAGGGTGCCATCTTCTTCGTCTTTAAAGTCTCTTTAAAACGAGCCTACATGTGATAGGGTTGCAACTTATATTGAAACAGGTATGCGATAAGAAACGAATTTAAGGAAATTTATGGAAAGTAATCAAACATGTTTCAATATAAATCGCAACCCTGTCACATGTAGGCTCGTTTTAAAGTGAATTTAAAGACGAAGAAGATGGCTCCCTCGGAAACAAAATTTTCGTTAACGGTTAGAAAATTGCAGTTTGAAGTGTAGAACTCTTTAGTTTTGCAGTTAAAACCGTCGACTTGTTCAACACTTAGATTTGCAGAGAGGGGCCCGGGTGGTCCCGGTACTACCAGGTTCGAACACCAAAGTGCCCCAAAAAAACTCAAAGGAAAATTGAGTCTTTCCGCGCATAGTCACACGGGTGATTTACCTCTTAAGTTTAGAGGTAAATTGCTCTTTAACTTAGAGGTAAAACCGTTAGAGGCAAAATGTCGTCTTTTTTCATAGAGGTAAATGCGTTAGAGGTATATTACCACTAAAAATTTTAGAGGTAAAATGCGCGCGGCTCTTAGAGGTATATTCCCTGCCGGTTGCACAAGCGAAATTTACCTCTAAAACTTAGAGGTAATTCTCCTAGAGGTAAATGCACGACATTCGCATTAGAGGTAAATTCCGTGCAAACGCAATACACCTCTAAACACAATTAGAGGTAGTTTTCTTAGAGGTACCGGGCCGCCCCCCGACAGGCCTCTAATTTGAACGAGACAAGTTCTGAAAAGGTTGGGGGGAGGGTTATATATGTAGTCTGTATATGAGTTGCCTGCCTTTCTCGCAGATACGTACATGCAAAAGTGGCCCAGCAATTTTGTTTGTAGTGATTTAAAGTATATAAAGGACAGGCCAATCCGAATCTTCCTGTTTAGCCGCTTAGCTGATATTATGGTATAAACCTAAACACAAACAGCTGTGGAGCTAATTTCTACTTCTCTTTGGCACGATTAAGAACGAAATATTTTGCTCTGGTGTAAAATTGGCTCGCTGAAGTAGATTGGAAGGGATCTGATAACTTCCCCGTGCAGGTGACGCCGTTGGTGGTCTATCTTGGTCTATCTATCTTATCTGAGTTTCCGTGAGTCGTTTCATTTTTTAAGCTTTTCCTCTCCGCTCAAACACGCACTAAAACACCCTTCACAACACTTAAGTTCTTTTTCGCAACGCCGTACTGTATCCGGTTCTAGGAATGACGCCATATGCAAAACATGTCGCCTTACGCGGAGAATCGGCAGCATTGTTCTCTTTTTTTTTGCAACGCCATTCCTTTTTCTTTTTCTTTTTTTTTTATTAAAACATAAAAAGCTGGACGCTGAAGCGCTGACATGCGCCTGGCGGCGGTGACACCCGACACTCCGGGCTGACTGTGGGAAGCGGCGGCCCTCCTCTGCTGCGACTCATTCAAGGCAAGAGAGCGAGCGAGTGAATCACTCTCTGCACTACAAAGACAATGCGCGGGGCTCATCCTGGGCGTAGGGAAAGAAAAAGGCCGTGAAAAACTAACTCGCTGCTGCAGTGAACATCCGCGCACATCAAAGTGTTGGCAGCGGTTGTCGTGCAGGCGGTGGCGGTCCTGCAGCCCGGGCCCGCTGACACCGGCCCGGCGGCCTCGGCGGCCTCGAATGGCGCACGAGCCCCACGTCGGAATGCGAAGCGCCGCCGCCGCGTCCCGGCCGTCCAGGGCCCGCAGCGCTGCCAATGTTATTTATTATGATCCGACCGGATAAATGACAATAAATAAATCCGAGGCGAGGCCCCCGCGCGCCTGCCTCGCCCCAGACGGACACCTCGGCTGCGCGCGCGCCAAGTGGAACGAGTTCAACAGATCCCCGTTGCGTCGTTTGGCGGCGCGTCAGGCGTCAGCCCTGGCCGCGCGCCGACACCAACAGCAACAGCTGAACGCGCCCCGGGCCGCCGTCGACCAGCGCGCTGGTCGCGTCCCCGGAGTGCGTCGGTCACTAAGACACGTGAGTGTCGGCGCGGTCCTCACCGCCTGGAATGTGCCCGTCCTCGCAGCGGTGCGGCGCGCCCTCCCTGCCCCGCGCCCCGGCTCGACCTGCCCCCCCGATTGCCGAAGCCGATTGTGTTGATTTGGCGGCTCCGACGTGCCTGACGCACGCGCGCGTCCCTGCCCCCACCGCCACTTCGGGTCGGGCCTTGGACCAAGGCGAGGCGGGCCGCCAAGTGTCTGCCTCTGGATCTTGTCCTCTCGCTTGGCCCTGGCGGCCCCGCAGCAGGTGCATGCACCCCGGCTGGTGAGATGAGGACGATGCGATGCATGGGAGCCTCCCCTGCAACTTTGAGGCACCGCCGTTGTGTAATAACGCCTTTGGGGCGTGGGTCGGCTGCCGGCTGCCGTGGGCTGCGCTGCGGCCGGGCGGCGCGGAGCGCCCGGCGTGTAGGCAACCCAACGCGCGGCGGCGCTGCGCTGTGCTGCGGGCGTGCCTATGCGCGCGCGCTGCCCGGCCGCGCCCCTCCTGCAGGGACCCTAGGTTGCGTCCGGCGTCACTGCCGCCTGCGGGGGTAGCAGGCATCGCCAGCAACATTTACCTGCGCTGGACACGTGTTATTTTCACACCGAATCACGGGGTGCCAGCGGCGCCCCCTCCCCGCCCCTCTACGGCAGTGTACTCACCGTGCTTGTGTGTGTTGCAGATGACTCGGCGACGCTGTGCTCGTGGCCGGGCGTAGCGCTGCGTCGCGGCGCCTAGAGGAGACGCCGGCAGGAGCAGCGGCGGCAGCAGCAGTGGCAGCCATGACGCCGGCCGCGCCGCCGCGCCGCCCCCTCCACCGCTGAGCCGCGCGCTCCTATCGGCACCGCGCGACGCCGAGGCGGGACGCGCCCCGGCCGACGGCTACCTGGCTCAGTGCGCCCCTCACCTCCCCGTGGTGCGGGACCGGCCGGCGACATGGAGACGGACGTGGGCCAGGACTTCCAGGACTTCTGGGCCGAGTACAAGATCCTGCAAGACAAGGGCCACGACGAGGATGACTACGGCAACGGCAGCGATGGTGAGTACAGCTGGTCCAGGGGGAAGGGGGAGCCACAGAGCGACGCAGGGCGACTCGTGATCAGGCAGCAACAACGGCGCACCGCGGTGTGCGACGGTGAGAGGGGCGAGGCCGACGGTGAAGTGCAGTACGAGACCTGCCGACTGATTTCGAAGAACGCTCCCCCATACCTTCCGTATAGCTCCGTCCTTGTCGCACTCATAAGGTAGCCCCCCTTGAGCGCTCTTCGGAATCAGTCTGCTGCGACCCGCAGGCGCGAGCGCCTCCCCGACGTAAAGTCCTGGCGGGTCCGAGATGCAGATGCAGGATTTGACCCCGGGCGCGGCGCGTGCGGCCGTGCGGAGCACGCCGTCACACGCGCCGTCACGTCACCGGCCCATTACTCACACGCTCTTCGTCACACGGCGAGCCGCGCGGCGCTGATAAGCGGGCGGGGCCGGGCCTTTGTTTACGGCCGCGAGTGTCACTGCGGGGAGGCGCGCCGTGTCGGCTCGGGTGATTGATCGAGTGCGGCGATGATAGCGCGCCGCCGGCCACCTTGCTGGGCGCTGTCCTCGTCCTCGTCGTCACGCCAGGGCCTCGGCCAGGGTGCGACTGCGGCAGGGAACACACACACACACACACACACACACACACACACACACACACACACACACACACACAGCGCGTGCACCGGGTGGTGGGAGACGGGGAGGAAGGGGCAAAAGCGGACAGAGATCGCGGACGCCGCGCGCTGCCGATTCCGTTTCCTGGCGTCGATTTATTTCGGGCTCCTCTCCTCTCCGTCCTCTGTGCAGCGAACCGCCGGAGTAGGGGAGAGGGAGGGGGAGGGGCGGGCGGACGGGCGCCGAGGAGTGCACGCTGCGCCCGCCGCGGGCCGCGGGTCGCGGGGACGGGGCTGCTCCGCGCGCCCCGCGCCTTCTTCCCGCGCTGCTACAAGCAGCTCGGGTCCACGCACGGCGTGCGCTCCCGGCCGCGGGCCTCAACGCGCCGCGTAGGGTCCCCGGTGCAGCGGTGTGACTCAGGGGCCGCGGGGAAGTCCTTTGACAGTCCGGCCCGGCGCGAGTATAGTGTCCCGCCGATGTGGTGGCCGAGGCGTATATATGGCAGGCATACGGCACGACGGCGCGCAAATCGAGTATCGCTCCTTGCAGCCGCCGAGGCCAGCGCCAGCGCCTCCACCCACGCCCTGCTCCTGTGCTTGTCTGGTCCTCTGGTCCAGGCCCCGCTCCCGCTCCCCCTTCCGCATCCCACACTCGGGTGGTGCGCGGACGCGACGCATCGGCCCCGGTCCGGTCTCCGGGGCTCCCGCCGCACTCCCGCCCTGCCCCGTCCCCCCGCGACTGCTGACCGCAAGCCGCGGCCGCCGATCCGATCGCCCCGCCCCTCACTGGCGCCCGCCACCCGTCCGGGCCGGATACAGCCCGGGACGTCACCGAGAGGCCTGCGCGGGGGTCATTGCCGCCCACCTGCGTGCGGCCCGAGCTGCGCCCCCCTCGCGCGGACTCGCGGTCACCACCCCCCGCCTGAACCCAAGGAAGCTGCACCCGGGTGGTCCGAAGCGGCTCATTTCAATGAAGTCAACGTGTCTCGTACTGAGACAAGATCGAGAGTGTCGCATCGATATCGAAATACTATCGTGATATCGACGTCGGACAGGTCGAACACTCCTGCCTCTGACAGGGCGGGGCAAGGAGTTTGTGGCATGCGGCACTTCGCGGTTATCAAAGGGGTTATTAAAGAGAAAATGCCTTCACTTCCCAACCCTCGACCAGGCCCCCTCCCAGATGAACAGTCGAGCGGACGCAGCGCAACAGGACCCTCCCGGGACGGCATAAACAGGAAAGAGGCAGGGGGAGGGAGGGAGGGGGAGGGGTTCCGGCGTGCGATTTCCGATCGAATCGCGACACCGCGGTGGGGCTGAGAGAGGCAGGCGGCGGGGAAGAACACGGCCGCTTTGTGGCCCACCTCGCACGCCCCGCCTCGCCCTGCCCACCACGCCACGCCACGCCACGCCACGGAGTGGTCGACGAGCCGCAGCCGCAGCCGGGCCGGGCACCCGACCGAGCCGCCAGTGTCCCGGCAACCCCCAGCATGAACGGAGCAGACGGAACGAATAGCTACACTCGGGCGTTGTAGAATGTGTGTGTGACAGTGTGTGTTTGTGTGTGTGTGAGAGAGGGACAGTGAGTGAGTGTGTTAAAGAGTGTGTGAGACACAACCCGCGGGTGTGTTGGTGGTGAGACCGCTGACCACCGTCATGGGGATGTTGATGCGGAAGCGCGTGGTGATCAGCGCGGCCGTGAAGCGGCTGCTGAAGCGGGCCGTGCTGCGCGCGCGCCGGCACCTGCAACCCTCCGCCGACGGCTCCGGCGACACCGGCGGCGTCGACAAGTTCACCCCCGTCAACACTGGTAGGTAGGCAGCCCAGACGCGTTGCGACCGTCCTGCAACGTTATTATAACATCGGGAAGGCCAAAAAAAAAAATTTAAAAAATGTTTCTAGTGCGTTACCGTCAACCAGATGAGAAGTTCAAGTTGTCACTCGGAGTGCAAATCGCCCACCAGCCCACGTACCCGTCGTTATCAGAGACGTTCTTGCAGATACCGACGTGTTGATCAGCTGCTGCGATGTATATTACATTGTCAATTAATTTGGGTTAATTGCCTGTCTTTTACGACTAATCTTGGAAAACTGTCCCGACTTCTGAGAGACTACTGCTTCACGATGTATTTTGTGGAAAAAGGCATTTTAATGGAAAATATTCCGTGCCGTGCCCCAGCGCCACTACCGCCGCCAGGGCTGGGTGTCTTCGGCCTCATTAGAGCCAACTGTGGTCCCCCTGCCCCCCTGTTTGTTCGTTACCGCTCTCGTTAAAGGGAGTCTGAACGGAGACCGTCTAAAAGTAACGCCCCCCCCCCTCTTCCCGTCCCCCTTGCGCCGTACTTCCGCCGCTCTGTCATTGTGACCGCCTTCCTGTTGTCGGCCCCGCGGGGTCCTGCAGCTTCTGCAGCTTGTCCTGCAGCCTGCAGCGCCTCAAGGCAGCGCCGCCCTGCGGCCCTGCAGGGAGCCCCATCTATTTCGGCCCGGTGTGGGCCAGGGCCTTGGGGCCAGGGCTGGCCCCTCCTGAACCGCAGGCGATTTGTTTTGGGTAAATGAAAGTCCATTTGTCTGGGAATGGGAGAGATTACTGGAGGCGAAGGGAAGGGAACCAGTCGTAACCCTGAAGTCCTCCTGCCTGCTACCTGCAAGCTGCTCGAGGAGAGTGAGACTCCTCCAGCCCGGACAGGTCAGTCCGGGTTATGAAGTATGGGGAAAGAAATATTAAATGTGTCACGATCAAACACTTGCCGAAAATACGTCCATAAAAGCGGTTTAATAGTTCATCATAACTTATTTTTATTTTATCGTTCGTTCGGTATCAGGATAAAATATTCAAACGAAACTATTCAAGGTTTGATCGCTGAAATAGTTATCTTTTATAGCGCCTCCTTCCCTCCAGGAGCTCGTCCGCGACTGGCGGACGCAAGTTTAGCGGAGAGCGCGGGCGGGGGGGGGGGGGGGAGCCTCTAGGCCGCGCTGACAAACGAGCTCGACGCAGCGCACGGGAGGCAAGCTTCCAAATCCGGTAAATATATATCGGCGGGGAGGGTCGGGGAGGGGAAGGGGGAGGTTGTCGGCCGGACGTGCGTGCGACTGGAGCCTCCGCCGCCGCGGCCACCCGTTTTTACTTCTTTTTCTCCTCCTCCTTGCCGCCGCTGGTTCCGCGCGGCGCCGAGCTCTACCGGCCGCAGCAGCCCGCCCTTGATCTATCTCACCTCGCTCTTCCTCCCCGCGCCAGCCCGCGGCAGCCAGGCCGCCGCCGGGGTCTTCAGCCTCGCGGTCGGCGAATGAAAAAGGCTGACAGAAATCCAACACCGGGGCGGGATTTGCGCCGGCTCAGCCGAACTTCGCGTGGGGTGCGGTGGGGTGGGCGGGGACCTCACGCCACTTGAGCCCTACACTGACTATATAGGACTCTAATAACGTCACTTCGCCGCCTGGCTCGGCTAGGCAGCTAGGCCCGCCTCTGTCCCCAAATGCACGTCGAGCGCGTGCCCGCGGCCACGCCGACAAGGGCGCCGCCGTCTCGCCGCTCGCGTCTGTGGCCGCGCTGGCCGCGCCCCGTGACGGCCCCGCTGCGCACCCGCCTCGGTGGCACCGGGCCGTCCAGCTGATGTCGCAGCCCCAGTTTTAATAAATGCAAGCTCAGTGCGGCTCGCCCACCCGGGGCTCGATATGCGATGCGACACAACGCGGCTTGAGCGCCCCGCCCCGCCTGCCCCGCCACCCCGCACCCGCACCACACCGACAGGCGGCACCGCGCCGTCAGCTTGCGACGCGAACTGTTTTTATTCATTCATTTACACGTTTCTCGGGTCACTCATTCATTCGCCATGCAGGTACCTTGCCTAGCGGCTGTCGCCTTTTGCGTTCTCTCTCTGTTGTGACGTGGTGCTGGCGGCGCCTCCGTCACAGTGACGGCAGCAGGATCATCTTGAGCCCTGCCACTCTTGCCCTCCGAGTCACCAAGCTCAGCAAGCCCGTTGGCTCCACCTCGTCGCTGGCGGCTCCGTTTCCGCCCCCCTGCGCGTTCGCACTCTCCATGGGCAGTGTCTGACGCGCGCCTCCCTTCGCTGTTGCAGACGGTGAACAGGAGGCCGAGTGGTTGGTGTCGGCGGGGCTGGAGCCGCTGACGGCGCCCTTCCGCGCGGGCCGCGAGCTGCCCGACTGCACGCTGGAGCCCGCGCTGCGCCTGCTGCCGCGCCACCAGGCCGAGGCCGTGCGCCGCCGCGTGCGCTCCCTCAACCACACCGTGCGCCAGCGCGGCCGGCGCCGCCAGCGCAAGCCCGACATCAGGGACGTGTTCCGCGACCGCGACCTCGAGGTGAGTACATGGTGTAGGATGGTCCTCCTCACTCAATAACTGTGTGTCCCCCATGGACACCTTGTGGAGGCGAGCCTCAGGCAGCCTTATCAGTTATTGCCCCCCCCCCCTCTCTGCAAGGCCTGCACTCCTCCCGCACTGCACCCAGCCAGTCTGCAGAGTCTCGTGCCCCCGGGCGGCCGGACTCTCCATGGGGCTGCCGCGGGGCGGGCGCAGGCTGGTCTACACGGTGACCCCGCGCGCGCCGCTGGTGAGGGGAGGGGTTGCGAGGTGGTAAAACACCAAGGCGTGGCTGGTTGAGCTAGAACGTGTGTGTCTTTGCGTGCGGCTGGGGAAAGCGAGAGGGGAGCTGAGCTGAGTCAGCCTGCCTGACGTATCCGTCAGATAGGCAGATTCCTGCGCTCGCCGCCGCATCCCCGCCGGGTCGTCGCTGGCACTCCTCCGTCTCACCCTGTCCTCCGCGTGCCCCACAGAACTCCAGCACGGGCACGCGCTCCCGCAGCGCCACGCCGGACTCGCTGGACTCGGAGCTGCCGCTCGAGGATGCCGCCCTGGCGTGGTCCTCGCCGCACAGCTCGCCGCAGGACCGATCGCCGCCCACGCCACACTCTGTGCACTCCGTGCACTCTGTGCCGCACTGGGCCGCGGGCACCGACCGAGGATCGTAAGTAGAAGTGCTGGTGCCCCAGATCCTACCTGTGGGAGCGCCTGGGCGGTAGGCAACCCACGCACGGCTGTGCTGCGGGTCTGCATGCCCGCCCCTGGCGCCTCGCCCCCGAGTCCCAGTCCCACCTTACACCTGCTTCTCATCGCCAGGCCCCCCACGCCACCACCCAGCTTCGTGCAGCTCTTCCACCCCGTCAACATGCGCGCGGCGCTCGGCGCCCACAAGGCGGTCCGCAGGCTGCCCAGCGCCCCCGCCGGCGACGTCCTGCCGGTGCACGAGCTGTTCCGCGGTGCCTTCCGCGGCTCCTTCTATGGCGGGGACATCGTGGCCTCCGACTGTGGTGAGTGCTTTAACTATTGACAGGATGCGTCCAGAAGTAAATTTTGTAGATCTTGTCAAATAAATCAGAACACTTGTTGAAAGCTTAGTCAAGTTACTTAGAATCAAATGTTCAAACTGTATCTTTTATGCACATTTCAGCGGAGGGGATTGAAATGATCAACTATCAGCGAATTGGATCCATGCACTTGTCCAAGCACAGGACTAGATCTCGGTTACCAGAGTGTGACAGGTCATCTGATCACACACTGAGTTCCTCAGCTCCTTGTAGCAATCATGATCTCTCACATGATATTGAAACTAATCATAAAAGTAGCTTACAGTAAGTACATGTTTAATTTAGCTAACTAAAAGAAAACCTAATCTCTAAGTAATTTGTAATTCTCTTTTACTGTAGTAATCGTCTCATACCCCATGCATCAATAACTCGAAGTCAAAGCAGCGTTTATGAAAGGGAGAGAGAGGCCCAGCAGGAATCAAGGCGTACCCGTTCTGGATCTCAAGGGCACCTAAGCTTTGAAGAAGTTTGCAGACAACGCACACTGGATTCTTCAGTAAGTTTAAGGTGGCTCTATTATTCCCAATTGAGATTTCCATCTTAAACTCGAACCATAAATTCAATTTCTTTTCCAGATTATAACGGGGCCTTCGTCTTTCACTTCTGAAAAACCAGAAAGTGGTAGAACCTGGATGGAATTCCTCAGTGAAGCAGATCATCAGAAGCTTCATCCACTCTTACTATTAGAAGTTACAGCTCTTTTTGATAGCTGTGGGCTATCTTTCAGAAAAAGAAAGCCAAGCAAGAGAAAGCGCAAAGAAGGTATGAAATTTCCCAAATTTTTGATTACATTTTAGAGAGTCTCTTAAAAGCTTTAGACCATCCCCACTAATGTGATTTTCTTTTGCAGAAGGAAATATTTTCGGTGTTTCCATTACCACGTTACTGGAGAGAGATAGACAGCAGTGCTCAGAGAATTCAAAAGTGCCCCTCTTTGTGCAAAAGGTATGCTAGCAGATATAAAATATTGCAGTAATTGTGCAAAAAATATTTGCTCCGAAACTATGAATATTTCATATTTTTCCTTTCTTTTCCCTAAGCTTGTCCACCAACTGGAGAAACGAGGGTTGCAAGAAGAGGGTGTTTTGAGAGTTGCTGCACATCGCCTAAAAGTTGAAACATTAACAACTCACTTGGAAGAAAGTTTCTACTCTCGACCAGACCAAGTAGAGAAAGTTTTAGAATCAGCAAGTGTTCATGAGTTAGCTGCTCTTCTGAAAAAGTGGTTGAGAGACTTGCCACAACCATTGTTGACTCCAGAATTAGTTGCTCTATTTTATCGTACACATGAACTACCTGTGCAGCTGAGAGCCAGAGCACTTAATTTACTAGTTTTGCTTCTTCCTGTTGAAAACCGTGCTACTCTCAGAGTTTTAGTTGACTTTTTAAATCGAGTTGTAGAGAATCAGGAATATAACAAGATGTCCTTGCACAATGTAGCCATGATAGCAGCTCCATCCCTATTTCCTCCAAGGTAAGCTTTTGTAATATCTCATGGTTTAAGTATTTAATTTTATGGGATCATTTACCCATTAAAATTATGTGTTGTATTTGAGTAGGTATGTGGAATCAGCAGCTGCAAGTCATGGCAACGACAAAGCCTCCCTTAGTTCACAAGTGAGCTTAGCTGCTATTTGCTGCCAAGTCAGTGAGAGTCTCCTTCAAGCCGGAGAGGGCCTGTGGGTTGTGCCACCAGCTCTTGTGGGACAGGTGCGAAGGTCTAACGAACTAGACCGCCAGCGTCGCCAGGCCAAAGAAAGCAAGCCAGTAAGTTCGACATGGTCTTTTTATCATAAGTGTAGTAACTGTGGATTCTAAATCATAACACATTTCACAGATGAAACGGCTCTTAGGACGTAAGAATGCATCAAATACTCTCTCCAAGGATCAAAGTCAAAGCAGTCTAGCAACAACTGGTTTGGATGCAAGTGGTGCTCTTAGAGTAAATGCCCCCCAGTTTGGTCTCACTGATTTCCCGGTAGCAGTAAGTGAGAGAACCACAGCTGGTTCAATTGTGCTAAGGTATATATATTTTCTCTTTGGTCTATAAGAAATGAGGTATATCGAGAATCAAATTTTGATATAATGTCTTTGTTTTTTGTTTAGCTTGGTTGAAGAAGTTTCAAGGGATCCTGATGCTGCATTAAGTCGACCATCAGCTGCAAATCGATATGATAGAAATCAACGTCGACCAAATAGCATATTTGGTCAGATTAGTCCCGTGCCTGGGTATGGTCACAGAGGCAATGGAGTTTTGCAGCTAGCTCACAATGCCAATCTCAGTTGTCTCCTCGCCACTGCCGATTCAGAGCTTGCCCTAAAAACCCACTTCCTATATGAAGTTGGTGGTAATATTGGTAAGTTGGCAGTTGTCTTTCTTTCAAAATTTTTTTTAATTTCAACTAAATTCAAGCGTTTGAAAGACTTGTTCATAAAATCTTGGTTTTGTACATTTTCAGGTGAACGGCAACTGGAACAGACAGCATTAATTACCACAGTACTACACGAGAATCCTAATGCGTCCTGGGCTCTTAGGTGTCATCACAGGAATGGCAATAACCCTTTGTTGGAGACCACACAGTCTAGTTGATGAAAATTTAGGAACTGCTAGAAGACCCATTTCCTGGGGTCTGTTTTGTGATCCGTGCCTTCAATTTAGGAATTAAATTTTGACAAACTTAGGATTTAGTATCATGTAAAAATTTCTACACTGTTGTTAAAGCAAAGCTTTTTTACAATGTAGATTTTCATTTTAATCAATTCACCTGAAAAAACATTTGTGCATAGTTCATATGTTTTT